GGCCCTTTGTTTTATGTCCAAAATGAATACAAGGCCTTCAAATTCGTCCAACACTTTGGCTCCAATCATGTGCTATCCATTCCAAGCCCAATTTTGCTCCAAAATGCTCCAAAATGCATCTTTTTGCTTCCTTAGCCATATGAACCTAAAAACACACGAAAATGGCTTAAACTACTAAAACAACTATGAATTAACAACATAGATGCACGAAAACAAGCTAAGTAAGTCGCCTAAATATGCTCCTATCAGCTAGCCATGTGTAAAAGAATAGGGCTTTTGGTCCATTAGGTCACTTATTTGAAGGGACTATATAAAGGACTTTATAGCCTAAAATTTACTAAGGGTTATTTTTGGGGGAAAGGATGAGAACACAAGCTCTCCTTTCTCTCTAAAGTTTTGGCCAACCTTGGAGGGATCATCTAGCAATCAAACTCCTCCAAGGTCACTCATTTCTTCTTCATTATGCCTTGGTGATGAATAATTAGAGGTTCTCAATTTTGGGAACTTGGAGAAACCTTTTCATCCATCCAAATCCATGGATCCAAGATGCAAGGAATGAAGGCCCTCTCTTTGGGTGATTAGCCTTTGCTTATGCAAAGAGGAATCTATAAAGGTATTGATTTCTCAACTCACTTTGTTTTGAGTTGAGTCTTGATTCACCTATCTACTAGGCTTTGAATTTCATGGGTAAATGTTTTGTTTTAAGTGCATACAAGCATGATTCCGCCTTTAATTGTTAATTGCATGCTATTGATGTTGCTTAAATGAACATGTTTTTCACAAATTTTCCTTCAGGTCTGTACGACAGGACTGTGCACCTAACTTGGATTCAAGCTGAGCGTGTGGTGCGGGAGGTGAACAACACGGGAAGGACTGTGCCCTACTCTGGGCGAGAGCACTAACACCGGGGGTGCAGGTTATGAGCCCTCTAAGCACCTCTAACCGCTATTTAATACAAATGTTAAATAATGCTTACCTGGCTACTTACCTACGCCTCCACAGCACCAACATATATAATGAAATCATAAATGAATATGTACTTAAGCGTATAAGCCATTAGTCATGCCTAACCATCAATCATATAAAAAGAATGGCATAAAACAAAGCAATTATACTAATTTCTGGGAATTTATACGTATATAGGTATATACGGAAAACAAAAGCCCACTCACTGGTATGTGGAAGGGTCGTAGCCCCCCTGCCTCGAATGTGCACGCTCGTCCTCGGGATACGTGTCATCTATATGCGAATTAACTATAAAAACGTTAACTTTAAAGCACATAACCGTCCGTTCAAAATAACTTCTCATACATTGCTCAAAATGGACAAATGAATATACCAACGTGATCTACACAACCTCACGATCACAACCATATTTTTAAAATAATTTTTGGACTTGTCACGCGCCCCCACGCGCCAGCACAGACACGGACCTACGCGCCCCCCACGCGCGGCCATGTGCCCTGCACGCTGACGGCGTCAAGTGACGCATTCAGGAATATTCCCTGGAATTGACGGAATATTCCGTTAACCCTGACTGACGCCGTCAACGTCCGTTAGGAATATTCCGTTAAACCCTAACGGAATATTCCCCTGTCTTCTCCGGCCAACCCCCCCTCGCCGGCACCGGCGCCGTCGCCGGAAACCTGCAACTCGCCATATCTCACTCGTTTTTCCACCTTTTTTCACGTTTCTTGCACCAAAATGACCCCTAGAACTAGGAGAATCACGATAGACTAGTTTTAAGGGCTAAAAACTACGCGAACATACCTGTCCACGAAATCAAAAACCGGCCAACTTCGTACAGGACGATCCCGACGTCCAAATTTGTCCAACGATGCACTCCCAAGCTCCTTGGGACCTCACCAACACAGCTACAAGCTTCAAATGTCCAAAAACTAAGTAAATTAAATTTGCATGAATAGTAACCAAAACTGAGCTCGTGAAATCGACGTGAAAACGTCGGAGTTCCTACCTGAAAATGGTACCACTGGACTCCACTCAACCTCACGAGTTCGATGGTGGTCTTGGATCCCTCGATCTGTCCAGGTTTGAAGGGTTGTGTGGGTGTCCGTACGTTTTTGTTTGAAGAAGAAGAAGAATAAAGGACTCGGGGGAGAGAGGGAGAGAGAGAGACAGTGACAGAGGGTGAGGGATAGAGATAGGATGTGTGTGTGTGGTCCAGCTTTGGTCAACACCACACAAAACAACCAAAAACGTAATAAGAACAAACTAGGGGTAAAACGGTCAAATCACATGTATGTTTCTATATTGCCGGGACGGGATGTCACATTATGAGTCATGTGCAAGGGGGAAAAATATGAATAGTCCTATGCTTATAAATGTCACGGCCCACAAATTGTGGCTCAATCTAAATATAATGGGTTGGACTTGATAGATTTTCTTGAATTTTTTTTGAGCTCTAGTTTTTTCTTAAAGTTGAAATTTATTTCTTAAAACATATGTTCAACTTAGCCTAACTCACCTCTTCTCTTAGTGTAAAATATATCGTTGTACTTAAAAAAAACATATGTTCAACTTAGTATTTAATACAAATTTACCTAAAAAAACCTTAGTTTCTACGCTGATATTGTATTTTCTATATTTATTTTTTTCACTCAACTTTAGTCCCTAAACTATCCTCACTTATAAATAAAAAATTCATCCCAATTCTTTGAACTTCTCTTTACACCCAACATAATAAAAATTCATAAACAAAACCGGAAGTTAGGTGCAACAAAATATGAACACAAAAGAAAATTAGTCAACCCCTATACTTGTGGAAGCAATCCATATGGAAAGAACAATTTGTCATGTTCAGTTCATCAGAAGGGGTTATCATCTGTGTGAACTCGATGATATTTTGTGCGAAGGAAGCTCGTATTTCAAGGCAAAAATCATGTTACACCAGTTTAGAATTAAGAAATGTAAAGCAAAATCAAGTCATGGTATATCACATGATATTATATTATTGGACTAAAGTTTTATTTTAAAGTGTTATTTCACTTGTATAATGGCATGTGTTGAACTATTCTGTGATTCAAATATAGTAAAAAATCTCCCACATCCATGAGCTATATATAATTAATGCTCATATTAGCACAATAAATAATGAAAAGAAATTAAAGAACATGATTCTTTGTACTTTCATCAAATAATGGAACAAGAAAAACATATATCACTTGGATGTAATGATAAATTAACCATTTATTTTATTTTAAATTCATCTCGGTAACTGTACAAGGAGGTAAAAAGACATGGTCAAATCGGATAAATGAAGGTATTCGGAAGATAGTCCATGTGCTAAAAAAACTCGGATTTAAACCTTTATAGTGTACCCCGTTAGCAAATTTAATTTAAAAATAATTTTTCTGTTAACTATCTATTAATACATGGATAAAATTGTACCTTGACATGTGCACTCTTCCTGCAAAAGACGCATTTTTTCCTAAATAGGGGGTAACGTGGGAAAATAACAGTCAGCTCAGTAGTTTGCAAGATCAAAGAGACACCACCCGCGGGGGTCTTTAGTCATCAAAATCCAATTTTTTCAACTCTACCGGAATCCACAGGACAAATTTCTATGGTTTTGGTGTCAATTGGCAACAATTTCAGAGCTCTAGGATTGATTTCTAGGCATACATGGATTAAATAATCCGGTTGGGTTGGGTTTTGGATCCGAGCCTTGTGGCGGAGGAGGAGGGATTGGTTAATGCGTGCCATTCCGATGTCTGAGAAACCTGGCTTGAAGCAGGTTCGGGAGGACTCGGCAGCTGAGGCGAAGGGAGATCAATCGATTCGAGGCTGTCCAATTGCGAATGGGTTGGCCAAGGACTCGATGCAATTCGAGACGACGTCGTCGAGCCGGTGAATCAGGTTATTGGAGAATTTTGGAATTGCAATTTGTTGAACGGTGCCGGTTCAATTTGATTGGGTAGTAAAGCTTTGTTTATTGGTTTTAATTGCAAGAATTAGGGTCGGCGTGGCCGGTGGCGGAATCGATGGCAGACGGTGATAACCAGGTGGCGGAAGAAAAAGGCAAAGTGACGGAAGATTCGGGGAAAGAGGAGTTTGTGGATTGCTCGGAGGATTACGCAATGGATGAGTTGGATTGCCTGCGGCTTTTGTTGGATACTACTGTTGACTGTAATTTTCCCATGTTAAATTACAATTTTACCCATGTGTTAACAGATAGTTAACGGAAAAATCACTTTTGGATTAAATTTGCTAACGGAGTACACCAGGGTTTAAATCCGAGTTTTTTTAGCACAGGGGTTATCTTCCGAATACTTTATGACCACATGGATCATTTATCCGATTTGGCCAAAAGACATTTCACATTAAAAAAAAAAAAAATTGAAAAAGTTTAATCTACACTAAGGGGTGCGAGAGTGGGTCAAGCCTTACAATGGGTCAGCCATAATAATGAGGTTCAAATTCATCTTTGGTAAGATCTCTCACTTACAAATGAAGAGGAATATCACTAGACAGTAATATTAAGTGACACTCACATAAAAATTTTAAGTTGAGTATAGAGATACAAAACATGATTTCAAATAAAATTTTCGTAATAAGAATTATAATGTAATGAACAAGAAAGTAAGGATTCGTAAGGAAGTACATTTAAAATGATTGAAAACACTTGTGATGAAAATGTTTTTGAAACCAATCTTTGGTAAAAATTCAAGCGAATCTTGGAAAAGCATTTTAAGTGCTTCCGGTAATAAGCAAATATCTGATACTTATTCTAAAAAAGTACTTAAAAATATTTTTGGAACAAAAAAATCAATTTCACCAAAAGAGTTTTTAATTATTTTAAAAGTACTTTTAAACCCATTTACTTGGCCCGGGTCATCTTTCCTGGATTTTTCTTTCACTTGCGATTACCTTGGGCCCCAATCCAGTAACCCCGACAATTTCGGAGCCCCGAAAGCCATGTGCACCGCACGTGTCTTGAGGTTTTGCATCAACCATCTCCTCTCGCCCTAAAACCCTCATTGCTCACTCTCCCACTCAGAGACTCAGAAAACCACCGACCTTGAAATTTCTTCTTCCACCTCCAAAATACAACCATGAAATTATCCAACCCATTTCCCATTTCCTCCCCAAAACACTAAACCCTAAACCGTAATTCTCATCCTACCAACCATGAGACCCATTTCTCCAAAAACCCTCTACCGCCTCTCTGTCTCTTCGCCATCCGCTCCTCCTTTCCTCCTTCAGATTTCCCGCCTTTCAACCTCTTCGCTATCCCACCATTCGCACGCTCACTCTTCCTTCAGACGCCACGACGAGGAGGTTCGGAATGTCAGGGTTTCGGTTTGGTGGGATTTTGAGAACTGCAATTTGCCGGCCGGTGTAAATGTGTTCAAGGTAGCGAATGCAATCACTGCGGCGATCAGGGCCAATGGGATCAAAGGTCCTATCCAGATTACGGCTTTCGGGGATATGTTGCAGCTGTCAAGGTTCAACCAGGAGGCATTGTCGTCCACCGGGGTCAATCTCACCCACGTTCCTCACGGTTCGCTTCGTTCTTACATTTAACTGCTTATTATTTTATGTGTTCAATTGCATAGATATAATCGTATGTATGGTCAGGTATTTCTCTGAAAGATAAATTTTCATATATTGAGGAAGATAAATTGTGAACTACTCTAAATCTGTAACTGTATCACGTGAGCGGAATTGGTTCGTTATGGGATGGTGATTGACTTGGTTAAGTTGATTAAGTGGGAGTATGTGCGTGAAGATTTTAGAGTCTGGTGGCTGGCTAGCAAAACTGAGATAATCAAGTTTGTTGGTTATGGTTACCATTGCCCTGGATTAAGTGAAAATTAACAAAGGGTAGGTAGAGGAAGCTATAGTCATGAAACAAAATTCAATCATTTTAATATTGTGGATTTTCATCCGATATCATACGTTAATTCAATCCCTTGAAATAAGTAAACAGTTATATATGGATTCAGTAAAACAAGATATATGTAACAGTTGCCTGAAGTGTCTTATGATGGGAACTTCTTTCAATATGTGGTTATATCACTTTTATTCAAGAAGGGGAGAGAAAGGCAACCTTAGTGCAAAACACAGAACCCACTTGAGAACCACCTTTAATACGAAAACCAAAATTGGTTCACTAGGTTCAATCAATTGTGTACACAACGAAGAAGCTTTTGTTGTATGTTTATTGTATCAATATAGAGGCAACCAACATTGGTTCACCTAGGTTCAATCAATTGTGTACATGCTGGATTGATAATTAAGGTCAATATTCCACTTTTTCTGTCCTATTTAGAATTTCTGACATGCTTTGAACTAGACACGTTCACACACATTTAGAAGCCTTATATTCATACTTCTTAGACACTGGAATCCATGTACTAATCGTGCGGTCCAAGAAGTGACTTTAACCTATACTTATACAGCAGGCCCTGAAACCCTAAACTCAATCTAAATTCAGTTTGATAGAGACCTTTGTTGTTGGAGCATTCTTTTAATTCTTCAATTGTACCGTCTTGCACTTCATTCCATATCTATAGACTTCTTCCGTGAAGCTAAGTACAACAGTATCCTTGGTCTTATATACTTCTTGCACTTCATAAATTTTCATTATATGCTATCCTAGTCCTGGCACCTACCATCTAAAATTGTTTTATTGAATAAATTATTTCCTGAAAGAGAAATGTTCCTCATTTTGAGTTTTTTGACATTTGTTTTGTGTTTTTTGTCTTATGTATGTATTGAAAATGTTTCCTATGATTTATTATTCTTCTCTGAGTTGTAAATTGCTAGTGAAATTTCATGTCTTCTAAATATGATTCAGTCTTCAACTGATCGCAAAATTTTCCTAGTCATCTATGAAATCGGGTTTTGAATGTGTAATTTTTCGAAATTTGGTTTTCACTTTGAATCAATTCCATCAGTCTCGTCAGGAATGTTTATACTAGCCATTTGGTCCGTAAGTTAAGCTGTGATGAGCCCCCACCAACTCAAGCTATTAGTCGCACCTACTGATGCACCCATGCCGACGGTTCTTAAAAGCCACCAACCTGTCCACGTACTCGTATGAAATTAGTTTCCCTGAAGTCATCTGGTTTGCACTCAGTATCTTTCTGTCCGATTAAGTGTCTTTATATGAGATGGTTTTTCACAAAGTCCTCTCTCCACATAGTATGACGGTTCTGGAAAGTGGAAACTGTTCAGTGGTCATTAAATGAAGGACAGGAGAACATGCACAAAGAGTAAAGTAATTGTGAAATTATAAACAATGGGATTTGGATTTATGACTTACACTTAAGATTTTCAGTTATTGATGGTTGCCACATCCAAGTTCAATGATTAAAAATATCCCCAATTTCATTATTGGATGGAAGAAGTATATGGTGATTTGGACCCTAAATTAAATTTGAAGAGCCAATTTTTTCCTAGTGGATGTGTGACCTGGAAAAAAAACTACCAAAATGTGAAAATTTCTTTCAGCTATACACATTTTCAATATGTTATTTAACTAAAATAAAAATCTCATATGTAATTGACTAGGTGGCATGGAGTCTTTTGTATGGCTATCATATAGTTAGGTAAAATAAAATGAAGAAGTATTAAGCCCTGTGATAAAGATTCTGCATCTAATGCAGTAATATTAGCCCTTCATAAAGGATTCCTGTTTAATGAAGTATAAGATTCTGCATCTGTAGTTGCTTAAAAACTTTGTTCAGGGTCTGAGGTTGCTCTATATGATGTCTTTCAAGCATTTCTGTTTGAATTCTTAACTATTGCCTTTCATTTGTATGCAACTCTTTTGGACAGTTGGCTGACGTTATTATGACGAATGTACATCTAGGTTCCTTATACAGATCAGATTATGTAATCTTGCTGTCTTTTAGATCCATTTGATGATTGATCATTGTTGAATGGTTGAATGGGTTTGTGGAGTTTTGGAATTAGAATAACTAAGAACATGAACTTCTGAATCAGAAGCAGCCAATTTTGATAATGACATAATACTCTGTGAATATGCTGCCTGTAAGCAATTTATACTTGGGATTCGGAATGTAAATATGATTTGTAACTATTTGGGATTATTGGAGAACATTTTGGATTTATGACTTCGACAAAAGTTTAAGGACTAAAGAAGGAAGTCTTATTGAAATCAAAATCTGAAATAGATACAATTCATGCTGCTATTCTTATTAGTTAAGAAGGGATGTTGTTTATTTATTTATTTATTCATATTCAAACAAATTCCAGATGCTTTGGTACAGGTTACCAGTACTTTTCCATTTATATCCGATGACAAAAAATCTTATGCAAAACACCTAAGTTTTTCACTCATAGTTTTCTGTGTTATGTATTTTCCTCATTCTACTTTTATTTGTTGGGTTGGAACTTAGAGTATACACGTTGGCATGAGTTATTTCCTATTGTTTGTTAATGCTGTATTGGCTGATACAAAAATGCAGTGGCAACTGACCCATTTTGATTATGCCGTATTGGTTGCAATGGCTTATTGTAATGTGTATCTTAATCTACCTTCTGTAGTACTAGTACAGTTCATAATTACTGATTTTTCTGTGAAATAAATTTTCAATCTCAATTGGGTTCAACATGTGGTCTCCCATGCATGTGTCACACGCACATTCAAATATACAACTTTATTGTATCCTAATAAGATTATATTGCAAATGTTTGTGTATGTGCAGGTGGAAAGAACAGTGCTGATAGGTCTCTTCTTGTAGATCTTATGTATTGGGTTTCTCAAAATCCCCCACCAGCACACCTTTTTTTAATTTCTGGTGACAGGGATTTTGCTAGCATTTTACACCGTTTAAGAATGAATAACTACAATATATTGCTAGCAAGTCCAGAAAATTCTCCTGGTGTCCTATGCAGTGCTGCAAGTATTATGTGGCCGTGGCATGCTTTGCTTACTGGTGAAACCCTTACTGGGAAGTATTTTAACCAACCACCTGATGGTCCCTATGGTTCTTGGTATGGCCATTACAAGGTTCCTCTTGAAGACCCATACTCGGTTATTGAGCAGCCGTCATTGTCACAGACTGAAAAGTTGTCTGAGCCTGGTTCAGATTCTAAGCCTCGTCCAATTCCTATTGCAGTTAGGAAGCAAATTCATAAGATATTGAAGTCACACCCTAATGGAATTTCCATTACAGAACTTCGCATGGAGCTTGCACAATGTAATTTGCATATAGATAGAGACTTCTATGGATATAAAAAGTTTTCCCGCTTTCTTTTAGCAATTCCACATATTTTAAAGCTCAAGTCATTAGGTGATGGAAAATTTCTGGTACATGGTAGCCCAAAATCATCTGAACCATGTGAGTACAATATAGGTACATCTAAAGAACCTGTTAGTGATATTGGAGACCGGGATCTCGATTCAGCTTCCCATTTAGGTTGTGAGGACAGATCTATTAATATAAGTACCAACAGGAAGCTGTCTGGATTTACATCCCATGAACCAAATGCAGAAAAGCCTTGTGAAGAATCAGAACATCTTTCTAATAATTCTTTGAGAGATTCAGGTGTGAAGTCACAGTTGCCTCTTTCCCCTGTGAATGTGAAGTCTTTGACCAAGCTACAACAGTTTTCTCCCCATGCTGAGAAGTCAATATCCCCTCCTTCCTCAGAGAATATAAAGCCTTCTACTAAACCACAACAAATTTCTCCCCTTGATGAGAAGTCGCTCTCCCCTCCTTCCTCAAAGAATGTGAAGACTTCGGCACCCATTGACAAAGAGGTGGTTGAAGTGGCTACAGATCAAGATACTGAACTTCATTTTTCTCCGGAAGTTGCACAAGATTCCTCATCTGAGGTGGGTTATTTTAAGAGGATTTGGAGAAATTGGTTTGGCAGTAGAGTTAATGTTTCAGGGACTTCGAGTCACCATGGTCAAGAAGAATTTTGCACTTCTGGTGATGACACTAAGAAGGAAGACCAAGACTCTCTGGTGAAACAGCATACTTCTGTTGATAATGCTGTGAAGGGAAATGATGAGAAAAAGCATGCTGCATCAAGTGAGGTTGTTGACCAAGCACTTCCAGCTTCATCTTCTTCATCCCACGATGAATCAGCTAAGGACAACAAAACTGCAACAACCTATCCAGTGTCCGGTAGCAAGTCTAAAACAAATCCAGGGATATTTGGTCAGATAGTAAATTGGTGTAAATTCGGGAGAAGTAGCCCATGCTATGATAAACTGAGTGATCAATCCCGTGACAGACTGAACCTGATGGACAATCACTCTCAAGTGAACAAGCTCTTTTCAACAGATTCTTTTTGGGCTGAAATGGAATCTTTTATGGACACACCTAAAGGATCAGTTGCTGTCGTCAAATCAAGGACCAGGTTGCATTTACTCCATGTTTATTTTATTTTATTTGTTTGTATTGTGCTCTGCATATAGACAAATATACTCATACAGATGCCTGCAGTTTCTCTTCATGTTTGCGTTTCCCTGTATCATGAAATTTCTTATGATTAGATTATAACTGTCTCAAACTTCCTTTTGTTTTTCTTCCCTTCGCTGCAACAATTCTTTTTTTTGCTAGATTGTTGCTTGAATATTTTTACTAACGTTTTAGGTCCTTAGGTTTTGTAAACAAATACATTTATGTTTATGTATGTATACATATAGTGTTCTATTGCTAAACTTTGTGTGGCATGCTGTGCTGTCACCCAGTAAACCTAGACCGCACTTTGACAAGAGTGCACCTAATCAATGGTCCAGATTTAGTGTCTGGCAAGAGCAAGTTTTTTTTATATAAATACAAATATGTGTGTGTGTGTGTGTCAAAATCCAAGCCTACGAAGTTTTGGATTTATAATTTTCTTTTGGCATGACAGTAACTAAACAATCTGTTTATATTAAAATAATTAAAGAAGAAAAAAACAAAGTATCCATATTCTTCATTAGAAATTTATGAATATTTCCTTGAGGTAGCAAATTTGAAGATAGAGTTGAATGACTGCATCAGGTGGAATGGAAATTAACTATGGGTATACAATCTTCCATGAGGACATACGATTTGATTAGTCCATTTCAAGTTTGCGAGAACGATGCGAAACTGAAGATAGGGTCTTTCTACCCCAAGATTGTTTTTAATGCATTTTTTTTTTTTTTTTTTTTTTTTGGCACTGAATTAATATATACAGTTCTTGATGTTCTGTGCTTACACATCACTAATGGTGTCCTTGTTTATTCACTTGTCTCAGGGAACAAATGGCACTCAACCTTCAAAAGGAAGGACCTTTGTCTCTTAGATCTCTCTGCAAAGATGATCTTCTTCACTTGGTTGACTTGTTAATGTCAGAAAAGAAGTGGGTTGAAGAATGCCTTTCCCAGATGTCACCTTTCAAACTTACTGATCGTGGTGGAAAGAGTTCTTTGGATCAGTCTAATGGTTCAAATAGGTTGAGATCCATCTTTGTGGATCAACCATCACAACGTGACATGCAGAGATCACGAGAGCATGACGGAGAGGAAAAATGTCAGAATATTCCTCATAGTGGAGTTTCACTACCTACCATTAGGAAGACACCTCCTGACAGGTGTAGAAGTGAGATACTAGCCGACTGTCGAAAGCTTGTAAATGAGCTATTGAAAGAGCACCCAGCGGGATATAACATGGGCTTATTCAGAAAAGTGTTCTTTGATAGGTATGGCTACCACCTTGAGTTGCATATGCTTGGGTATCAAAAGTTAGCAACCCTATTACAAGCCTTGCCTGGGGTGAAAGTAGAGTCGTCTCACATCCTTCCTTCTTTCACATACTCGGAACAAAAGCCTCAGAAAATGTTTGATATGAAAACTTCTGGTCCGAGTATCCAAAAACATACTGCCAGTCGTACAGCAGTTGATTCAGATGGTAATTTAACTGATGCGTCAAGCAAGGATGATGGTAGCGACTCACCATGGGAAGAGCTGGGCCCTGTTGCCAACGGATCCAACAAAAATGAAGTGCAATTAGAGTCAAGGGGGAAGGCAATAGGATCAACGGGTTTTGATTATGAACCATCCCTTTCAGATGATTTTTCAGATTCAGAAGAAGAGACATCGCCTATAACTGAATCAGAAGGACAACGTGCTGCCAGAGTGAACAAAGAAGATAGCTCCTTGCTGCAGATCCTTGACTCATGGTACAGCAATAAGGATGGCGAAAGCAGCAAGCACAAGTCAGAGAATGTTGATAGGACGGTTGATTCCACGAATGTCTCTAAGCTATCTGGATTCGGCACCACGAGTGGGACTTCTTTGGCAGACCATGCCTGGAAGCAAAGACCGCAGAAGAGCTACTCTTTTGTTACAGACTCGTGTGGCGATAACAAGGACAAGTTAATTGATGGCATACTAGGTAGCTTGAAGAAACCAAGTGAGCCAAGGATGGAGAGCTAGATGGTTTAAATGATTGAGAGCGAGAGCAAGTTAATAAAACATATATACGAGATCTCCTAGTGCAGTGCCATTGGAACATTTGAGTACTTGAATTTTGGACATTGGAGTCCAACGGATTTGATTTTTGAAGCGGCCGAGCCAAGTCAGGCTGCTCCGCGCTGGCGGTCAGGAGAGTTTAATTTTATATTCCTAACCCAATTAGTTTGAACTACTCTTGCTTTTATCAATTAAGAAATGGCTTTAGAAAGTTACAAACATGAATGCGTGCGCTTCGCTTTGCTGCGGGTTTTAAGAATTCCGTTTAAGACAACACTATTAATATATAAATAAGTTTTATAAATCAATATTCACATGTGTGGTGTTTGAGAAGGTAAATGAGTAACACATTACAGTGATCAAAAGATAAAATGCTCATTATTCGAAATATTTAGATAGACTATGAGCATGTTACAGAGTCTAGATTTTCCTACTTCACTGTTTCCGGCTCATCTTCACCTTCATTATGTTGAGGTTTACAGTTTCAACTAGTTCCTACAAATTTTGAAAAAAAAGGAGTCGTTAGTGCGAACATATAGGAAAACAAAAAGGGGACATATAAGTAAAATTGAGATAGAGTTCATTTGTGATCCTGAAGGTGCAAATGAAATTTTTGTTTCCCTCTATTTTTCCCTCTATTTTCATCTGTTCTATCAGATGCAATAAGACTAAAATGAGTGCATTCAAACCAACCCATTTTTCGAACTTCAGTCATATATCAATCTCAGCGATACTAATTAGACAAAGTCGGGAAGTTCAAATAAATCACTTATAGCAACAAAAACAGTAAAAAACAAATGTGTATGTAGAAATTAAAATAGTAAAGAAGGTATATAATCGTCACGACGATGATGTAATAATCTACTGTGATTAATTTGACAAAGAAACAGTAGAACATAAGTAAACAAATGGGGAACACACAACCAAAGGTAAGATGGAGTGTTTTTTATAATAATGAAGGAGCATATATAATCCGTTTTTCATCTGCTCTATCAGATACAATATGAGACAAAAGGAGTGCATTTAAATTAGAAAGAGTTGGGTTAGGCATAATTGGACAAAGAAAAGGTCTATAGCAACAAAAACTAGGAACTGCTTTATAATTGGACAAAGAAAGAGGAAGATAAGAAGAAACAAAGAAAAGGACTAAAAAATTTGGCAAAGACATTTTCAGCAAGTGAAAGAAAAACAGAGGCATTTCCAAACAAAAAGTCAATATCAATATGCCATGAAAAGAAAATAATGCCTGAGCAAGGGAAAAAAAAAATCATAAGGCTGAGTAGCTAGGCCTAGCAAACAGGTCGTGTCTGTCGTGTTCGTGTCGTTTTCGTGTAACACCTGTTATCTTAACGGGTCGTGTCGTGTCACACCTGTTATCTTAACAGGTTGGGTCACTTTACCGTCGGGTCACTTGACCCGACCCGTTATGACCCGCTACGACCCGTTAAGAAAAATGTATTTTTTTTTCTTAAACTTGCACATACCACACATTACCACATAAATATTACTTCAAAACATTAAAGCACATTTTTCATTTAAGTACTACATCTACACTGGAAAATAAGAGCCTAATAAACAAACATCCATACATTGCTAGTCTATTACAAAATATTAAATGTGCAAGGATATGCAAAATGTGCAAGGATATACAAAATATTAAATGTGCAAGGATATACAAAAGGATATTCAAGGTTGTGAAGCTTTTCTCAAAAGTTTAAACCTTGCCAATGAAACTCAAAGCTTGAATGTAATTCCTTTTACAAAATCCTCAATTTTCATCGATCATCATGACATAAGATTTTGTGGTATCTACTTGTGTAAATATTTTAAATTGAAGATCGAATTCATTCATTGTATTCATATGGGGTCAAGGAATGTAGCTGTAAAAAATCAACAAAATCAGAGTTAAAATAACCGTTAAATCGTGATTTTTCGTTGATAACCGTTGAAAAGTTTTGTCCAGTTACTTTATCTCTGAATGTTTGTTTTTTGCGATTTTTGGCGTATACGATCTTGAAGCATATACAAACAACTTTGATGGTTGGATCATTGAAATTATTTTCATAGAATGCGTATCCCATCAAGACGATAAATTCACTAACACTTAGAGTTTATTTATAATTTCATCAAGTATAACATAAGATTTTGTGGTATTCACTAGGGTAAATATTTTAAATTCAAGATCAAATTCATTCATTGTATTCAAATAAGGTTAAGGAGTGTAGCTGTAAAAAATCATCCAAATCGAAGTTAAAATAACCGTTAAATCGTGATTTTTCGTTGATAACCGTCGAAACGTTTTATCCCATCTTTAAATGTTTGTTTTTTGCAATTTTTGGCGTATACGATCTCGAAGTATGTACAAACATGTTTGACGGTTGGATCGTTGAAACTAGTTTCGTAGAATGTGCATCCCATCAAAACAATAGATTCACTAACACTTTAAAGTTTATTCATACTTTCATTAAGTATAGCATAAGATTTTGTGATATCCACTAGTGTAAATATTTTAAATTGAAGATCAAGTTCATTCATTGTATTCATATAGGGTCAAGGAGTGTAGCTATAAAAAATCATCAAAATCGGAGGTAAAATAACCGTTAAATCGTGATTTTTTGTTGATAATCGTCGAAACGTTTTGTCCTATTACTTGATATTTGAATGTTTATTTTTTGCAATTTTTGGCGTATACGATCTCGAAGTATATTCAAACAAGTTTGATGGTTGGATCGTTGAAATTAGTTTCCTAGAATGCGTATCGCATCAAAATAATAGATTTACTAACACTTAAGAGTTTATTCATACTTTCATTAAGTATAACATAAGATTTTGTGGTATCCACTAGTGTAAATATTTTAAATTGAAGATCAAGTTCATTCATTGTATTCATATAGGGTTAAGGAGTGTAGCTATAAAAAATAATCAAAATCGGAGTTAAAATAACGGTTAAATCGTGATTTTTCGTTGATAATCGTTGAAAAGTTTTGTCCTGTTACTTGACATCTAAATGTTTATTTTTTTGCAATTTTTGGCGTATACGATCTCGAAGTATATTCAAACAAGTTTGACGGTTGGATCGTTGAAACTAGTTTCGTAGAATGCGTATCCCATCAAAATAATAGATTCACTAACACATAAGAGTTTATTCATACTTTCATTAAGTATAACATAAGATTTTGTGGTATCCACTAGTATAAATATTTTAAATTGAAGATCGAGTTCATTCATTGTATTCATATAGGGTCAAGGAGTGTAGCTATAAAAAATCATCAAGATCGGAGTTAAAATAACCATTAAATTGTGATTTTTTGTTGATAACCATCGAAAGGTGTTGTTTCGTTACTTGATCTCTGAATGTTTGTTTTCTGCAATTTTTGGCATATGCGATCTCGAAGCATATACAAACATGTTTGACGGTTGGATCATTGAAACTAGTTTCGTAGAATGCATATCTCATCAAAACAATAGATTCACTAACACTTAAGAGTTTATTCATACTTTCATTAAGTATAGCATAAGATTTTTGTGGTTTCCACTAGTGTAAATATTTTAAATTGAAGATCAAGTTTATTCATTGTATTCATATAGGGTCAAGGAGTGTAGCTATAAAAAATCATCAAAATCGGAGTTAAAATAACCGTTAAATCGTGATTTTTCGTTGATAACCGTCGAAAAGTTTTGTCCCTTTACTTGATATCTAAATGTTTATTTTTTGCAATTTTTGGCGTATACGATCTCGAAGTATATTCAAACAAGTTTGTCGGTTGGATCGTTGAAACTAGTTTCGTAGAATGCGTATCCCATCAAAATAATAGATTCACTAACACTTAAGAGTTTATTCATACTTTCATTAAGTATAACATAATATTTTGTGGTATCCACTAGTGTAAATATTTTAAATTGAAGATCGAGTTCATTCATTATATTCATATAGGGTCAAGGAGTGTAGTTGTAAAAAATAATCAAGATCGGAGTTAAAATAACCGTTAAATCGTGATTTTTCGTTGATAGCCATCAAAATGTTTTGTCCAGTTATTTGATCTCTGAATGTTTATTTTTTGCGAGTTTTTGTTGATGCAATCTCGATGCATATACAAATAAGTTTGACAGTTGGATCGTTCAAATTAGTTTCGTAGAATTTGTATCCCATCAAGTTCAATGGTGTCTATATATATATATTTATTAAGTAGATTTAAATTTATTTATTTTGTATGTATAACACTTAAGAAATTGAATGGTATGTATATTTAAGCCGATCTAGTGGTCACCAATTTTTAATATTTAATTTAATATATATATATATAAATATAATTATTGTGGTTTTTAGGGATATAAAATTGTTAAATTAATATATATATATATAATTATTATAATATTTTTTTAGGGTTATAAAAATATAAAAGTAATATTTTGCTTATCGTGTATCGTGTTACCCACGTGTATACCCGAACCAACCCGTTATCTTAACAGATGCTTATCGGGTTACCCAATAACGACCCAATTCGTTATCGTGTCAACCCGAACACCTGTTAATTTCGTGTCGTATCGTGTCGGGTTATCGGGTTGTGTCAAGAATTGCCAGGCCTATGAGTAGCGACGTAGAATTCGTAAAATGTAATATTTTCCTTTCAAATGAAAACCTGTAGCAAATAAAAAACCAAATGAAAGGGCATGGCAGAAGAATTGAGGGGGAAAATAGATTAAAAAAAGTAATTAAAAAAACAAAGAGGACGAATGATGTTGTCCAATGTACTTAATTTCTCTTAAGCATAAAGACAGCTGTATATACTTGATGACCATATGAGAGAACATCAATTTCGAATGAACTAATACAGGCATTAATCATGACTTGGGCATTCATAGCTATCGTTCTAAACTTGATGGCATACTGTAAAGTAACAGTTTATTTCCACTGGATAATTTGATTTCCCAAATTCAAAAGCAAATTAAAGAATACTAAACATTATTATTACAACATACCGTCAGTCGAGAATCAAATCCAAAAGTAGAATTGGGTAAACAAATGAGAGAATAGAAAAATACCTCAAAAATGGTGGCCTCGATAGCTAAAGAGGCAACAATAATCCACAAATAAAAACCCAAAGAAAAATAGTCAGCCAAACTAAGAGGAAAATTATCGAACAAAACAAACTAAAAAAGAGAATCCAAAAGAAATTGTAAAAAAAAAATTCTTAAGATAAAGAAACCCACTCGGCTATCCAGTAGAAAAATATGAAGCATTGATTCAAAGATGCATCCGTTAGGGTCATACGATGTCCTAGAAGATGATCTTACGATGTCCTATGAGATCAGTAGATGATATAATTAAAGGAACCCAATTCAACGCTTAAACCTAGCTTATCACTACATTGAAATAACAAAGAAAAAGCATATCATATCCATGCTTTCAGTCATTCATTAGATAGATGTGTTTGAATGCCATTGATGCCAATGATCGAGTTCATTACTCTGCACATACAAATTGTTCATAAAACATTAAAGCATCTAAGTGCATTAGATGAAGATATATCTATATCTAAAGAGGAAGGCTTATCATGAGCTTCAGGAATCTGTAAAAGAAAGGTAAGTATATGAATTCTCAAAATAAAATTGAAATTGAAATTCTTATTTCTAGAAGAAATTGAAGACAAATTAAGATTAGATTATGAATTGAAAACATATTAAGAGGGAATTCAACACTACTTTCTCATGAACTAAATTATCACGTAACAACGCTCTACTTCTCTGATCTCTACCCACATTTGATTGAATTTCTTGCTGATTTTGTATTCCGATCTTCGATCATCGATCTGTTTTCTTGATTTTCAATGGCATCTCCGTCTGCGACCGCTTCTCCTTCTGAGTCGGTTCCAATTCCAAATCCCTCTTCAAACCCTAATCCCTTTTCAAACCCTAATCCCTTTTCAAACCCTAATTCCTCTCCTTATACCTCTCTCACAATCCAAAATATTGGTAGCATGGTGCCAATCAAGCTCAAGCGGTCCAATTACCTTCCATGGTGTGCTCTATTTGCCCCAATTCTTAGGCGCTATCGACTTCTTGGTATTGTTGATGGTACCGAACCTTGTCCGTCACCACTTATGCCTGATCGCACTCTGAATCCGGCGTTTCTTTACACATCCCATTTTGTTCTCTGTTTGACAGCAAAGCAAACTGGCAAGTTAACCTCTAAAAAAAATTGGTCCACAAATTAATAAAAAGAAAAGACCAAGTGAAAATCCAAACAACTAAAAAACCTAACCCAGTTGAATTGAATAAATCCCAACCAACTCAAATAAAAAATAAAAAATTTCAGACAGCTAATGGAATCCAACGGCAGGTATCTCAAGAGTAAGAAAGAGCTAAGATATCAGTACCTTGTTGAAATTTCCATAGCTGCGTGTACACCTTGAAGACCTTACAGAAATATAAGTCGCCTGTACAAAATTAAAAATTTGAAATAATAGAATAATTTGGAAATTAGGGTTTATGATGAAGAAATGGGGAATAATTTGAAGGACATGTTACAGCAAAATGTTTACATGACAATAAAGAACTTATTGATTGAAAAAGAACACTCTATACCTCACATGTACAGACCAAATATGGAAGCCAAAATAGAAACTCCAAACTGATACAAAAATACTACATAAATTTTTTTCAACCCTATCTGTCTTAAAATAAAATGCGGTCATATCGCAGAACAAAAGTATACCTCCTGCAGTAAGCTTCAGCTCTGTCTTCAGTGGAGCAATGATGGACTCAACGGGTAGCATTTCATCATCTTTTTATGCAGCATGAACTCTTCAAAGTGTGACTTCTGCTGCAATATTTTGATATAAAACAAAACCCCCATAATCAGATTAATTAGGATTTTTTTCTTCATAGTTTCATGTACTTCAAAAGATATATGATGTAAATTATATACTACGGATATATCACATTTAAGTTTAAGTATGCTGATTACCAAAATACTTTAAATGGTTCTTCAAATTATCATTGTTTACATCAAGAAATTAATAATATATCCTCTGTTTATATAATATATGTATCTTTGATTATAAAACCAATAGAACTTTTTACCATTGATCTTAGCATTAATAGAACAGATAAGAGCTAATGAGATAGAGCTAAGCTACTTCACCTCTTCCATAAGTCCACGTCTCCACCCAAGCCTAGATATCTCGACATTGCCCAGATAGGTGTGCCGTCCTGACCTGCAAGATTTACACAAATTTGAAAATTTGAATGAGGTTTAAGCATGAACAGATTGTAAAACGCAAAACTTTATAGCATCAAATTGGGTTGCAAGCAAGACCAACCATCATGAAGAAAAAGTGGGTACACAAAATTGGCAGGAGATAAACTTGTTTCATGAAACGCAACGCAGCTCTGAGCGACGGCGATCTTCGGTTCTGGCGAGGAAATGTTACATGATCTCAAATCACCTTCAATTGGTAATTATATAAAGAAACAGTTACGCGAAAATTCACATATATATATTTTTGAACCCAATCTACCAATTCAGTGCAACAAAAGCAAGAGTGTTGAAGTTGTCAAAGATTCTAGTTGATAGGTTTCCTTGTTTCTAGGGTTTATCCCCTGGACGTGCTAATAACCCTCCTATACTTGAGGGACAAGTTTGTTATCTGTTTTAAACTAGTCGATTACCACGATTCTAGGGTTGTTGTTATCGTGGGCTGTTATTTCATTTTCTTGTTGATGTAAGGCTATTTAATAGCTGGTTGAAGTCTTTCAGTTTAATAAGAATGCTTCTGAGTTATCCAGTGCATAATACTTTGTGTCCATATTCATAAAACTTTACGTAAACCTAGCTCAGTTTCAACATCTGGTATCAGAGCCCCATCATAGGGGCCTGACCAAAACCAGCAAACACAGTTGCTTGCGTGAAAGAACAAGAATATGACGTCCGAGAACAGTTTTGTGCAACCTGCCATCCCGAGGCTCGATGGGCACTATGATCACTGGAGCATGCTTATGGAAAACTTTCTACGTTCCAAGGAGTATTGGAACCTGGTGGAGACGGGGATCACTGCAATCGCAGGAGGAGCAGACTCTAGTGATTCACAGAAAAAGGCACTGGAGGAACTGAAGCTGAAAGACCTGAAGGCCAAGAATTACTTGTTTCAGGCCATTTATCGCTCTATCCTTGAAACAATCTTGAAGAAGGACACGGCGAAGGATATATGGGATTCCTTGAAGCAGAAGTACCAAGGAACTGCACGTGTGAAGCGTGCTCAGTTGCAAGCACTTCGGAAAGAGTTCGAAGTATTGCATATGAAGGCTGGAGAAACTGTCAATGATTATTTTGGGAGGACACTTACCATAGCTAATAAGATGAGGGTGCATGGAGAAAGAATGGAGGATATCGTGATCATTGAGAAAGTTTTGAGGTCTATGACGTCAAAATTTGATTATGTGGTCTGTTCGATTGAGGAATCGAATGACTTGGATACTCTATCCATTGATGAACTTCAGAGCAGTTTGCTTGTGTATGAACAAAGGATGGGTCAACATGTGATGGACGAACAAGCTCTCCAAGTTATCACTGGAGTCCAACAAGGAGGAAGGAGTAGTGGCCGTGGCTCCTATTGGGGAAGAGGTAGAGGAAGGGGTAGATTTGGGTTCGACAAATCTATCATAGAATGCTACAACTGTCACGAACTAGGGCACTTTCAGTGGGAATGTCCTAAGAAGACTAGGGACTCCAATGCTAACTTTGCAGAAACACATGAGGAAATGCTGCTAATGGCGTTGGTGGATGCCAAGGAAGATGAGACGGAGCAGATTTGGTTTCTTGATTCAGGATGTAGCAACCACATGTGTGGTGGATGTTGGAAATGTGCCCTAAAACCAATCATATGATGATACTTTACGGACATTTCAAACTAATGTAGTTTAAAGGGCAAACATTATTGTTTGAGCCGTCTCATATAAATGTTATATGCTTAAACGATAAGTCCAAGGAATATGTGATTGGAAGAATGCGATCTAAAGAAGTTAGATTCATGAGACCATTCTTTCGTTGACACATCCTAAACGTTCCTGATCATAGGATTGTCAATTGGGCATTGACAGTCCGTTAAGATCAGTACGTGCTATGTCTTCTCTCAGGGAGAGTGACTAGTCTCGAGTCATTGGTGTGTGTGACATCAAGACAAGTACGTAGGTGCTCAATAGAGAATGAGTTCACTGAACACGATCAACGAAGAGTTCTCATATTCATGTCACATGAGAACTCATGGTTGGGATAATGCAAATTAGTCTTTTGACCTGAGGCATCACAGTTGTCTTGTGGTTAGGTCCTTAATCTTTGATTATGTCAACGTCACTCTATCAGGGTGTCCACGGCATCGTCGGGGTTAAGCCACTTAGCCATGGAGGCAAGTGAATGCGCAACAAGGGATCTCTAACCTTCAAACTGTTTGAGGGAGAATACTCTATGATATGATTTGGAATCTCTGGCCAGAGTATGAATGAGATGTTGGAATGCGTTCCAGATCACATTCAAGGTAATCATATAAGCACAAGACTCACATTGGATAGTAGACATGAATAAACTATCAAACCAAACAATGTGGTCAAGAGTATTGTATTAGAGAAAGACCGTATTGCATTTGTAATCCTAAGACTGAATAGGTTCTCCACCTCTTCTGATTAGCTTGGGTAACCATGACATGCTGCTAGGCGTCAACCATGGTTTGTGGAAGCCCTAAAAGTGTATTATCACTAACGGGAGAATTGAAAGTAAGTTTCAATTCACAATCGATTTGAAAGAGTTTGAATCGCCCACTGCCTCGCTAAAAGGAACCTAATGGATCGTACACCGTGTGAGGTAGAGATTGAAGATTCAACGGAGATGAGTAAGAATAATTAAATGGTTTAATTATTTATGGCAAGGATTAATTAATATGATTATTAATCAAACGAATAAGTTCGTTGAAGACCTCGGGATAGTTTTGGACCTTAAGGCCCAATGGGCTTCGAACGTCAAGTCCATTGACTTAAGTTGTATGACAACTTAATGAATAATGATTCACAAAGGCCCAAATAGCCCAAAGAATACCCTAAGGCCGGCCATTTAGAGAAAGAGTGGGCTTTGGACTTATTTACAAGTTTGCCACTCAAATGAATTAAGGTATAAGTTTGACTTAATAGCCAAAATTCATTAAGTGTTGTTTTTGGGGAAATTGGAGAAACACAAACTCTTCTTTCTCTCTAGAAATGGCCGGCCACCTTGAGGATAACATCTAGCAATCTTACTTCCTCAAGGTCACTCATTTCTTCTTCAATCTTACCTTGGTGTGGAGACTTAGAGGTTCTCAATTTTGGGAACTTGGAGAATCCTTTTCATCCATTCAAATCCATGGATCTAAGATGCAAGGAATGAAGGCCCTCTCTTTGGGTGATTAGCCTTTGCTTATTCAAAGAGGAATCTACAAAGGTATTGATTTCTCAACTCACTTTGTTTTGAGTTGAGTCTTGGTTCACCTATCTACTAGGCTTTGAATTTCATGGGTAAATGTTTTGTTTTAAGTGCATACAAGCATGATTCCGCCTTTAATTGTTAATTGCATGCTATTGATGTTGCTTAAATGAACATGTTTTTCACAAATTTTCCTTCAGTGGAAAGGAAGCATTTGTCGAAATAGATGCAAATTTCCGAGAGTCAGTCAAGCAGGGAAACAACTTCAGTCTCAGTGTGCAAGGCAAGGGCAAAGTACGTATGGAGGTGCATGGGATCGTGCATGTGATTACAGACGTCTTCTTGGTACCAGAATTAAAGAATAACTTGTTGAGTATTGGTCAACTGTAAGAGAGGGGACTCGCAGTGCTCATGCAACATGGAAAGTGTAAGATCTTTCATCCTGAGAAAAGTCTCATTCTCGAAACTGAGATGACATACAACAGGATGTTTGCCTTGAGTGCTCGTTGTCTGGGAAAGGAACAAAGTTGTCTCTCCATGACAACTACAGATCAAGCTGATCGCTGGCATTGTCAATATAGACATTTAAGTTGGAGTGGTCTGAAGGTGTTACAACAAAAGAACATGGTTAAGGGGCTGCCAAAGCTCAAAGCTTCTCAGAATGTGTGTGAAGGCTGCCTTGTGGGGAAGCAACATCGTGAATCTTTTCCTAGTGAAAGTGTGTGGAGAGCCTCAAAGATCCTACAATTGATACACGCTGACATCTGTGGACCCATAAATCCAATCTCAAACAGTAAGAAGAGATATTTCATCACTTTTACTGATGACTATAGTAGAAAAACTTGGGTTTATTTTCTGGTGGAGAAATCAGAAGCTTTCACCGTGTTCAAAACATACAAAGCCAAAGTGGAAAAGGAAACTGGATCATTCATAAGAGGGTTGAGGACGGATCGAGATGGTGAGTTCACATCACATGAATTCACAGATTTCTGCAATGAGAATGGCGTTCAAAGGCAGTTGACAGCTCCCTATACGCCTCAACAGAACGGGGTTGCTGAACGGAAGAATCGAACCATCATGAATATGGTTCGATGTATGCTATCAAAGAAGCGGATTCCAAAGACCTTCTGACCTGAAGCAGTGAACTGGGCTGTCCACGTGCTAAATCGAAGTCCGACCCTTGCAGTAAAGAGCAAAACACCTGAGGAAGCATGGAGTGGGCGCAAACCCTCGGTAGAACACTTTAGGGTTTTTGGTTGCATCTCTCATGTGCACGTACCAGATACCAAGAGATTGAAGCTTGATGACAAAAGCCTCAAATGTATACTGTTGGGGGTAAGTGAAGAGTCCAAAGCTTATAGATTGTATGACCCTATTTCAAGTAAAATCATTATAAGTCGAGATGTAGTGTTTGAAGAAGATCAACTATGGAATTGGGATGACAGTCATGAGCAAGATATCTTAGCTGATCTTGATGAAGAAACAGGTACTAGAGATGAAGGCAATGAAGAAGGAAATGAAGGAAATGAAGAAGAAACTGACGACCATGGGTCAGATGGCAATAATTCGTTTGAATCAGAAAATGCCATAAATGAAGGCAGTGCACCTCAAGAGGGACGAGCTCGAAGGCAACCTAGTTGGATGAGAGACTATGACACTGGTGAAGGACTCTCTGATGAAGAAGGTATGAACTTGGCTCATCTAGCCTTGTTTACAAATGGCGATCCTACAAGCTATTGTGAAGCTGTGAAAAGTGAGAAGTGGAAACAAGCAATGGATAGAGATATAGAAGCAATAGAGAAGAACCATACGTGGGAATTGACTGACCTACCAACAGGAGGAAAAACTATTGGAGTTAAATGGATTTTCAAGACAAAATTGAATGAAAATGGGGAGGTGAACAAGTATAAGGCCCGGCTTGTTGCGAAGGGATATTGCCAACGATATGGAGTGGATTTTTCTGAAGTGTTTGCACCAGTGGCACGAATGGATACAATTCGAATGGTTATATTGCTGCACAAAGGAGCTGGATGATTTACCAACTCGACGTCAAAGCAGCTTTCTTGCATGGAGAGATCAATGAAGAGGTTTTCGTTGAACAACCACCTGGATATGAACAGAAGGGAAGCGAAGGCAAGGTCTATCGTCTCAAGAAGGCACTATACGGGCTCAAGCAGGCTCCACGAGCATGGTACAGTCGAATAGAGGCATATTTTATCAAAGAGGGATTCAGCAAATGTCCTTTTGAGCACACTTTGTTTATCAAGACAGCCAGTGAAGGTAAAATTTTGATTGTATGCCTATATGTTGATGATCTCATTTTCACTGGAAATGATAGGGTGTTGTTTGAGAAATTTAAGAGATCCATGATGACAGAATTTGATATGACTGATCTCGGAAGTATGAGATACTTTCTTGGCATTGAAGTAATACAGAAACCAGATGGCATTTTTATAAGTCAGCGTAAGTATGCACAGGAAGTGTTAGACAGGTTCAACATGGGTCAGTGCAACTCAGTGCATAACCCTGTGGTTCCTGGATTCAAACTCACTCGTGATGAAGGGGGAGCAAAAGTAGATAGCACACTTTATAAGCAAATGGTTGGGAGCCTTATGTATTTAACAGCTACACGACCTGATCTTATGTACGCTGTAAGTCTAATTAGCACGTATATAAAGAATCCTACACAGACTCATTTATTGGCAGTCAAAAGGATCTTAAGATACGTGAAGGGAACTGGTGATTTTGGGGTATTTTACAAGAAGGGAGGAGATGAAGAGCTCATTGGCTATACAGACAGTGACTATGCTGGTGATCAAGATGACAGAAAAAGTACTTTAGGTTATGTATTTATGATGAATTCAGGAGCTGTATCATGGTCCTCGAAGAAGCAACCAGTGGTTACTCTTTCTACTACTGAAGCAGAATTCATTGCAGCTGCTTCAAGTGCATGTCAAGTGGTATGGATAAGAAGAATTTTGAGTTGCTTGACTCTGAGGCAAACTGGTCCAACAAAGGTGTACTGTGATAATGTCTCAACCATTAAGCTGTCAAAGAATCCAGTAATGCATGGTCGCAGTAAACATATAGATGTAAGGTTTCACTTCCTTCGAGATCTCGTCAAGGATGAAGTAGTGGAGCTGCTGCAGTGTTCTACTCAGGAGCAGATTGCAGACGTGATGACAAAGCCACTGAAACTTGAAGTATTCCAGAAAATGCGAGACCTAATGGGTGTATGCAAATGGCCTGGAATACACTGAATCAATAGTATTCAGTTTAAGGGAGGATGTTGAAGTTGTCAAAGATTCTAGTTGATAGGTTTCCTTGTTTCTAGGGTTTATCCCCTGGACGTGCTAATAACCCTCCTATACTTGAGGGACAAGTTTGTTATCTGTTTTAAACTAGTCGATTACCACGATTCTAGGGTTGTTGTTATCGTGGGCTGTTATTTCATTTTCTTGTTGATGTAAGGCTATTTAATAGCTGGTTGAAGTCTTTCAGTTTAATAAGAATGCTTCTGAGTTATCCAGTGCATAATACTTTGTGTCCATATTCATAAAACTTTACGTAAACCTAGCTCAGTTTCAACAAAGAGGTGAGATGGGAAAAGTATGCCTTCACAAAGCAAAAAGCTTTTATATTCCACGACTTTCTCTTCTTCTTGCTTCTGAGTATCTTCTGATTCAGGGATGGCAGCGCTGCAGCACTCATCGAGCATGCCTATTTAAGTAACCCCAAATCAGTTTAAAAAAAATTCAAGGTTTAAATAGAAAATTGGGCACAATAAAAACTGAACCAAAAGTCTTAATTGCTTACCCAAGTGAGAGAGGATATGGGCAAACGGTGCGAGGTGGTTGCGGCGTCCGGACCTGGCCTGAAATTAGTTCATCACCCAGATGAAAAAAGAAATAAAGAGTGAATTAGAAGATTTATCAGAGAGCTTACCTCTGCAGTTGTTGCCGACTTGAACAAATCAAGCTTCTGTAGCAGTCTATAGATCACAAAGCGGAGAGATGAGGTCTGGGTGAACTGGTGGCAGCGGTGATTGAAACTTGAAAGGGATGTGGTTTAAGTTTTTCTATGGTGAAGCGGTGAGCGACAGAAGAGATGAAGAGGGATGAAGGTTTGCCAGATGAGGTGAGGACTGAGGAGGGAGAGGGGAGGGGGGAAGAAGGAAGGAAGGAAAGGAAGCAGATGAGGTGAGTACCATATATCAATGTCATATCAATAAAATCTACCAAGTATCAATGTCGTATCAACAAAATCTGTAGAAAATGGGCACTGACATCTACTTTCATCTTCAAGATTCTTGAATGAGTCCTGAGTGTTGGAAATTTGAGCCTAGAACTCCACAACTCAACTCCAACATCGGAATTTTGAGCTAAAAACGCCTGAACGAGTCCTCTTAATCTTTCATGTTTTGCCCTTATCATATAAACGTTGAAATTCCATGTACTCAATCTACGGTTTAGTGGTAGTTCTTTATTTGTAAATGAGAGATTTTAGGTTCGATTCTCGTCAAAAATAAAGTTGAACTACATTATTGCTAACTCATTATAAGGTTCATTCCTCTCCTCTTCCTTCTTAGTGTAAATAATATTGTTTGTTAAAAAAAAAAAAAAAATGATATTTGCAATCTAGGAAATGGTTGGGAGGAGACTTTCAAAATAGAAACAAGGAACTCTAGGAGCCACCCACTTAAAGTTTAATTTTTCTTTTAACGTTAAGTAATACTGAGTGATGCGAGAAATGAATAATTGTGATTGAAAATAATAGACTTACTACTTAAAGAAATCAAAACTAACAGACAAAACACTTGTAGAACTGAATGTTAGGTAGCATTAAAACCACATCTGTTAAAATTAGCTTTAGTTCATTTGCAGGAAGATCTGATAAATAAACAATGTTACACTCACAAGCTAATCACACAAGTACTAGTTGTACGGATAAACATTTAGAGATTGAAATGTGTGCATTGATGTGTGCTCAAATTTGACCTAGCATTTGACCCAAAAAAAAAAAAAAAAAAAAAATCTAACCTAGCATCGAGCGATTGTGCGACCAAAGACTAAACTTTTTCTTGGTTTAAGTCCTTTCACTTCCTCTTGTTCAAGGACCGATTTGTATGTTTTCTATATTTTTTTAAGGATAAATTACAAAAAATTACCTCAATTATGGATTGAAGCACAATCTCATACCTCATGGTTAAAAAATGACAATATTATACTTCATCTTACGAATTCGTTTCAATGTCATACCTCCATCAGTTTTTCTGTTAATTTTTCTATTAAATGACATGGTTTGAGATGGACCCTACTCTCTAGTCCAACTAGATAAAAATATTAATTAAATATTAAAACATTAAATCATAAATTTATTTAAATATTCTATTAAAAATTAGGACCCACTTCTTACAATCACCCTCACCCTTCTTCTTCCCCAGTTCCATCCCTTCCCTCTCTATAAATTTTTGGTTGAACAAAAGTGGTGGCCTTGAACACACGCAGGTTCAACTCCAAGCTTTCAAGACTCTCTCATCCTAATTCATCATTGTATGCTTCCTCCACCTACCTCACCGCTCAAAACCTCCAAACCCCTAAAAACCCTAACCACTTCACTCACTCTTCCAATTGCACTTTCTCCCCAAATCCTTTCAAATCTTCACCTAACCCCACCACCATTACCGAACACTACATAAAATCATCAAATTCAAAACCCATAAATCCTAATCCCACTTGGGTACCCAATTCAAAATCCTGAATTCAAAAAAAAGGGATCTTGGTACCCAATTCAAAAACCCAGATTTCGTCCTTGGAGGAGAGTGGGGCCGCCGTGGAGAAGTGGCGTGCGTGGCGGGTGAGGGCTGCATGGCGAAGGCAAGATAGAATAGACATGGCTTCTAGAGAGAGAAATGGGGGCTAACTTTAGGGTTTTGCAAAAAGGGTGGAGTTTAATCTTAGGGAGGGGAGACGAATGAACTGGGGAAGAAGAAAGGTGAGGCGTGAGGGTGATGGTTCTCTGGTTCTCGAAGAAGGGCCAGCTGGAATTGGTTCTCTGTCCGAGGTGCTTCTTCACGACGTGGTGTCATTACAGGAGCCTCTCCATCTTACTGGGGCACTGCGTAAGGCTTTCGATGGCTCGCCATACTTGTAGCTTCACCTGGTTGCCACAATCAACCAAATCTTCTCACTGACTCGAGTTCTACTGGACTCTCCTTAGCTGCACCGTCTCCTCTTGGGTTCACGGCAATGGCTGGGGCTTCTTAGCAGAGGCTGTGGGCGACAGTAGTGGTGGTGTAGACATTGATGCGAGGGTGATTGGGGCTAACAATTTGAAATTTAGGGTTTGGGGAGAATTGGGGTTTTCTGTTTGAAATTGGCATGGAGATTGTGGGTGTTTGGTTACAAAGATTAATTTGGTGAGGATGATGAGTTTGTAGGGGTGGGTCCCCCTTTTTTAAATAAAAATATTTAAATAAATTATGATTTAATTTTTTTAATATTTAATTAATATTTTTATCTAGTTAGACTAGAGAGTGGGGCCCATCTCAAGCTACGTTAGCATTTAATAGAAAAAATGACGGAGGTATGACATTGAAACGAATTCGTCAGATGAGGTATGACATTGTTATTTTTTAAACATGAGGTATGAGACTGTGATTTGACCTATAGTTGAGGTAGTTTTTTGTAATTTACCTTCTTTTTTTATGTATGAATGCAATAATGTAATGACACAAGAAACTAACGAAAATTTTGAAGTAAATTCCAATGTAACTAAATAAAATTTGAATAGATTATGAATTGAATTAACGATAAATGCATTTAAGATAATAAAGGAAATTTTTATTTGAACTCATGTAACCTCTCTCAACATCTAACTTAAATTTGAAATGTGAATTGTTTTTATTACCCTATTGCATAACTATCATCAAGTACAAGATGAAATTAACAATAACATTAAAATTTATCAATAAATCTACACGCAATCAAACTCTAACCATCAGGTAATCTTTATCCTACGCTCTATTTTAGCAAAAAAATTAACAGTTGTAGAGAAAACAAACTCTTTCTAATGAAAGGATTGTGATTTAAATCTTTTAACTAAAGTATGAATTAATTTATGCAAGTATTTTTTTTGTTTGATTTCAATTATTTTACGAAGTCAAAGAAAAAAATCTAACCGATGTCTAAGAGGCTCTATTGCAGTTGCTGCAGTTGACGTCCCATTATTGAGTGTTAAAAGGCTTTCACTTTATTGACCTTTTTAAAAAAATTTGTGGTTAGTAGCGTGAGTAAAAATCATGTTATTAAAAAATTGATTAGCAATACAGTTTATATGTTTATGTTCATGCTTTTTTCTGCTTAACAGTTCAACGTGACTCCATTTTGAAAATTTTGCCTCATTCAGCAGGATCCCACCTAACATATTCCAATTTTCAACAAGCTTTCACTGAATACTGACGTTTATTTTAGTCGTTTGTCACCGAATATAATTCTATCTTTTCTTTAAGAACAATAATCTGGTTCTATTTATTTATTTACATATATATATATATATTTATCATAAATGGTCTATGAAATTGACTCTCACCATCAAGATGATCTCTGAAATCAATCAATGTTGTCACATCCCGGCCCGGGCCCCCACCACAACCCGGGCCCGCTCCACCACCGTAGCACGATATTGTCCGCTTTGGGTCCCAACTACGCCCTCACGGTTTTGTTTTTGGGAACTCACACAAGAACTTCCCGATGGGTCATCCATCATGGGAATGCTCTCGCACGCTACTCGCTTAACTTCGGAGTTCCCATGGAATCCGAAGCCAGTGAGCTCCCAAAAGGCCTCGTACTAGGTAGGGATAGGAATATACATATAAGGATCACTCCCCTGGGCGATGTGGGATGTCACAATCCACCCCCCTTAGGGGCCCGATGATAAGCTCATATTTATATATATTTTATATCAAATCCACTTGTCTTTTCTTAGTTAGTTCCCTATATTTTTGAGCTATTTACTTTGTTTTTGTGTTTTGTATGATTTGTCAACTAAAGAAAAGAAAAATAACACAAGTGGAATTTTAAGTAACAAATTCGTCAAAACTGCCTGTGCACGTTAGCTGACTTTGGAAGCAAGTTGCGGACAGCTCAGAAAGAATTAGAGAATGAGACTTATATGCTTGGAAAGCTACGGATGTCTATTTTTTGGAGCATTTCAATATCATTTTTCTAGAAGAAGTTATGGCCGTTTTAACACTGAAAGGTTCCCAAGAGGCTGAGCAGTTTGTAATTGACAAGAAAGCATTGAAAGCAATAAATCCAATAAAATTAACAGCCAAAACTGATGCAGCCAAGGATAAGCCAGCTAACACCTATTCAAATATCAGAGGAAATGGAAAATTAAGTGAGAGTAATGGGCATAAAGGCTGCCCAAAGAGTTACAATTGTTTTAGCATTTCCTCTCACTTATTGTCATCACTAAATGGCTGTTAATGGGGTGAGTTATGGAGAAAAAACTAAGGCAGTAGAAAGAAGAAAAGGGCTGCAGGTTGCAGCGGCAAAAGGAGAAAAAAAAAGGTGAAAAAAAAGATAGAAAGCAAGGAAGAAAAGCAAGGAAAAAAGAAGGCTGCTGCATTGGGGAAGGAAGGAAAGGAAGGAGGAAATCTTGGCATTCTCTTCTTTCGGTTTTATCTTCTCAAACTCGTGTCTTTCTTTTGGTTTAATTTGAGAATTATGTGTAACAAAAATTTTTAGTAGTTAGGGGCTGTTTGAAGCCCCAAATATGATTGCAATTTTGTTATGACATTTCGTTTGAATTACTTTTATGAATGGATGAAAATTGGTTCACTACTTGTATCATTGATGATTTCTTTATGTGTTTTCTACGGATGCATACTTAGTAAGCATATCTAGGTTTCTAATACTATGAATATGTGTGTGCTTGCCCTTGTCGATTAAGGACCTACATATGTTCTAGAGTAGTACTTGTTAATTGCGATTAACATGTGAACCAATTTCTAGGATAAGTAAGACAACACTAGTACTTACGATGCCTTGTGATGACTCAAACTCTTTTTGTTCTTAATGATTTCTACTTGTTAAATCTATGAACACACCATTCTAGATTGCATGTTAGGGACTAAGTTAAGTTGAAAACACCATTCTCTTAACATACTACATAAGAAAGAGTAATAGGTTGAGTTTTAACATTGAGCCAACTTGAGCATCTTCATCCGGAAATAGAAGGAATTTGAATGAAACATAACATTTTTGCATGATTATTTGGTGTGGATAGCAATTCCCCTAACTCGTTTTCTTAGCTTGTGAACTACAATCTATTTTTATTATTAAAAATCTATTTCTGTTCTGTTTTTGTTCGATTTAATTTAAATAGAAAATCAACTCCAAAAATCCCAAACATTTGTCGGAGTGTAGCTC